AACAGCAATCTTAAAAAACTTTTTTCTTAAATGAACACTGTAGATCATTTTGACCATCAGCTGCAGTGTGAGTCAGTTATTCCTTCTAGAAGTATTGTCTGAAATATTTATAGGCACAGGAGAATTCCCAATGTATATGTTTCTCTTTCCAATGATAGCATCAAGTCCTTGCCCCAGGGAACTCTGAATAAAGCACAACAGTGACTAAGCACCACTTGCAGGTCAGTCTTTGTACTTTAATAGTCGGAAAGCACTGGATACAGAAAGGCTAGTCTGAAGGAGAGGTTTTAATAACAATTGCCACAGAGCATCCGTGCCCAGTGCATATTGTAAAGAACTAGGAAATGTTCATGGAGATACTGTACATATATTTGGACCTCAAAATATAAGCAAGCATGTAAGTTGGCAGGGACAAGAGACATGTCGTTTCGGGGAGGTAACTCCAAACTCCTCATATTTATTTCCTAGCTGCAGTTGAATTCCTATGAGGGTCCTATGAAGTCCTATGTTGTTCCTCACCTGGTTTGACCCATTTATGCAGTAGATCTACTATTACTTACCTATTGCTAAAAAGTACCCAGAGGTTTAATTAATCAGCATTTCTAATGATTTAGTATCTCTCAGGTAGTTTGCAATTCCCAGAGGAGACATCCTCTAAGACAAACCTCAACTCTGCCTTCCCATCCCACAGTTATTCCTGGTTGCAAGTAAAATCTTGACCTGTATCCCTGTCAGTGTCTCCTCAAGGATATCTAGCTGTTGACTGAAGCTCCAAGAAACTGAAGCAGAGCCTTGCATAGAATCATAGAATACTTTGGGTTGGAAGGGACCTTCAAAGGTCATCTAGTCCAACCCCCCTGCAACAAGCAGGACATCTTCAACTGGATCAGGTTGCTCAGAGCCCTGTTCAGGCTCTTTCCCTAAGCCTTCATCACTACTTCCCGTCTTTGCCTGTTTGGACAGCACTAGTATCTTGCCCATCCTCAGAACTGTATCATGGCATCTTTTACCAAGTTATTTTTCCAGGTCCTCACACACAGTTATATGTGAATCCTGCCTGTCTTTTCTGAATGACACCACCCAGTTTTGACCACTGTTTAACTGGATGAATTCCTTCTTTCTTCCCACCTCTCTGCCTGCCTGCCGTCTACCTGCCAGTTTTTCTGGAGCTGCTTGGATGTTGCACCAATATAAGTCATACCTCAGTCTATCCTCAGGGAGTTTTCAGTTGAATGGAGAATACATAAGTGCCATTTTCTGCATCTGTTTCACTTGCTGAAATGCAGTTGGGCATTGAGCCTTTCAAGGGAGAAATATTGGGAGGTCTATATGTTATAAAGCTGATGACAGGAAGAAGAGCCGCTACTGTGTCTTCTGTTCAACAGAGCATGAGGTTAAGCACAGAAGGAGCATATTATTCTACCTGTTCTGTTTTTCTTTCTGTCTGAGGAGATGGGACGTATTCCAGACACAAGGCTTAACCATTGTGTTGTGGAGTACAGCTATGAGGAAGATTTCCTTCATCTCCATCATGAACTTTATTTTATTTTATGAAAATTACTTCAGTATTAGAGTCATTTCTTGGGATACAGCCAATGGCAAACCTTATCAGTTTTCCAAGCAATAATGAAATCCATCATTTATTAAAAGTACCTAAAAAATAAATGCAACATTTTGATTTATATAAAACCCACTGTTTTCGTTTCACATTCTGGCCAGAAAAAATTATTCCCAAAAAACATAGAAGCATTTTTTTTTATTCCCTTGCCACTGAACTGCCAAACTGAAATGCTGGATATTTGTACAATCTCTTTATAGTGATTCTGGCCTTTTCATCCACTGGAAATGGCTGTTTTTCACTAGTATGGTTGTTAAGCCTTTTTAAACCTAGGCTGGATTTAGCCCTTAGTTACCCTCAATGGCTCAGCTCCAACTGGTAGCCTGGTAAAGGACACCTACAAAGCTCCTTTGATATGCTGAGCATGTTAGACACAAAACAGGAAGGGCAGCAAAGGATCCTGCTTACATTGTCTTCTCTCTCAAATACTTTGTTGAGATAAATACTAATGAAGATTGATTAATTCAATGGGATAGCCCATTAATTAGGTTTCTTACACATCTGTTTTGGGGGATTTTTCCTTACCTGCTTGTGAATTTTCTAATTGCTTTGGTGTTTTGACCTTGGACCTATATGAATCTCAGTACTGGGCCTGATAGCTTTATATTCTCACATCAGATCGGTTTTGCTCCGAAGCACCAGCATTCCCTGTTCCCAGCTGCACTGACAGTGAAGTGCTGATTATCTGCAGAACCACGTTGGTGATAACAAGGAGGGGCTTTTTCATTTTGTATTAATGTCACGTTTACACTGGATGCAGGAATACGTGCGGTCCAAACCTATCATGTTATGCTGACAACACAGGTTATAGCAGCAGAAAATGTTAGGGATTTGTAACATCACTGCACACCCAGGAGACCATGAGGCTAATGACAATGATCAGTCAAAACGTCCCCTTGCCTCTCTTGCAGAAGATGAAGGTAAGGACTCATGTGCTGTTGCTCTCTAAAAGAAACCTCTGATAAAGATGTACTACTTGAGACCCTGGCGCTGAGGGTAACCCTTGCACATCTGACCAAAGAGCAGTCAGAATGGTCTAACCAAAACAGTACACAATGCAAGAAGTATTGGCAAGGGAAGCAAATGACAGCCAAGGCACCTGAGCTGTGTTAACATGGGCTCCTCCAGATAACCTGAGAGGCTGCTCTGGAAAATATGGCTCCAGAGTGGTGGGAGGCAGCCAAGAGTCTGCTGGCCGGGTAGAGTGGTGTCCGTACTGGAGCTTAAGTTATGGGATAGTGTTTTTAAACCGGCACCATGGAAATTCTCCACTCTTTTGGAGAGGATCTCACCAACAAGTATGTGTCCTCAAGGGTAGGACAAACCTTAGATAAAACAAAAGCTGAAAGAAAGGCATCTGTAATATTTTTTATGGGGGATCAAAATTTTAACTATTTTTTACAAGTATGTCATTTTTTTACTTGCTTTAATTTTCTTCACGTAAATAAAATAGCCCCACTGAGTTCTGCCTATCTGTAGGTGCTGGCAATGATCTGTACAGAGCTTTAAAAGGCTTTTGCTTCAAATAGTGGGAGCTGGTAATCTGAGTGGGTGCTTCCCGTTGGCAAGTCCCTTATCCAGTATAGCCCTGCACACACACCTTCAAGGGCACCAGTCCTGGCAATCTGTCAAGAACACTTCTTAAAATGACTCCAGTGACTTTAGCAGATGGTATGGGCAGATGCAGCAATATTCTCCAAAAGAAGAAACTTTATCCCTGCAAGACTGCTGGCCGGAGAGTCTGAGTGAAGGACTATGTTTTTTTAACATTCCATGCAGTATTTATCCAGGCCTTTTTGTTTTTTTCACAGCTTTTTTACTAATTAAAAAACCCCAAACAAAGAACACACTCCGTTTTATTCTCAGCCTAATGTGATTGATTGGTAAGGACTGGGGACTGCAGTCCTGGCACACAGTTCCCTGTGCATTACTCAGCAGTGTATGGAGCTGGCTGTTTGGAGGTGCCCAGCCTCATGTGCCTGGCTTCTTCCCATAACTGCATACAAAAGATGCCCACATCACCTGGGTGTCCTCAGGCACCCAAGACTCTCGAATCAGCTCAGTTAGTTACTCTGTTTACAGCAAAACTTTCCAGAAAGTGTGTCCCATGGATCTGATAGAAATCATCCCAAAAGGGCAATGTGTAAAGGATTGATTTAAATTCCAGCTTCCAATAGAGCTGCTGTGTGATTTCTCTTCACAGAGTTAAAAATTAGATGCAGGAAAAATAAACAGAAACATTAAGCTCTGAAATCTCTTTTTTTCCACTTTCATTTTGGTAAGACAGAACTAATTGGCCATTCTATTTGCTATGTATCCTGCTGCTGAGCTAATCCTTTCTGTGCCCTAGATTTTTATTAGCCTTGCTTGCTTATTAAGGAAAGACTTACTTTCTAGGACTCCTTTAAATTCCATTTGCTACTACTCTGCCTTTTCTCTTGAATATATTTTTTCCTGTAGTGTTCTTTAAAGATTCTTGGCCTTTTCTAACCGGGGACATATTTATAGTAGCCTGCTCTACTTTCCGTAATCATTAGTGATCTTCCCAGCAGGATGTGTTCCTTTGCCTTCTCCTAATGTGATTCAGGTACATTCAGATCTAAAATGCCCTTATATTTGAACCGTTATGTTGGAGTTTATTGTACTAAATCAAACTCCAGTAAACCTTCCTGAGGCTTTTCTTTGTCAGTTTGCACAGCACTCATGGGATATTTGCTGTCAAAGTCCGTGCATCTTAGTAATAACACCTTAGCACTGTTAATGTAAATATGCTTTACTTTTCCTTTGGCCTGCTCTTTTGTTTTAATTCCTTAAGTATTCAGATTTCTTTCGAGACAGTCAGAGGAAAGAAGCTCTTGTTCTTTACGGACAATGAAATACCAGAATTAAATGTGGAAACAAGCATGAATGTCAGGCTACTAGCGGTGTCTATGGGTATGCCCACCAAGCCTAGAATGGTATAAGTACAGTAATCTGATTTCCAAATTTGGCTGTGGGAGCATATTACTGTGCTTAGAGATGGTTAAATGTGGGCATAAATAAAGTGTTTTAACAGAATTAATAAAAACACTTATACGCACAGTCCAGCCATTGGACACAAATGTCTTTTAAGAAAAGTAGAAGTACTCTGTGCTGTCCTGTGCACGAGTGTGTGTACACATATTCATAGAGATACAAGGTATTTGTAGCCAGTGAGTTGTGGTTCCTAAGCTTGATTTAAAAACTGAATGAGTTCATTATAATCCCTTCACCACCACCCCCCCCCAAAAAAAAAAGAAATCTGAGGAATCAATCTAATCGTATTTACTACATGAACATGTGAAAGTGCTTATCTGGGATAAACCCTGGGACTACATATTTCTCTCTCTTTTTCCTTAAACAGAATGAAAATGCCCTTGTGAAAATAAAGGAGTTAGGAGTCGAGCTTGAAAAGATCAGGGATGAAGTTGGTAAGTAGTACAAGCAAAATAACAACAAAGTGATTTTTTCACTTTAAACAGAAGTAGTTATTCCCTGTGACCTGATCCTGGGGAACCTGCATACGTGTGACAAAGTGTATTCTGAAGCCCAGTGGCAAGGGGGTTTGTGGCTTTGCAGAGAACTGTGATTTTACCTCTTTTTTTGTAGCGATGGGTCCATCACCGCATACACTGGAGCTCATTGTGCATCACTTTTACTAGACAAACTGTTCGTCATATATCCATAGCTTCTGTTCTCAAACTACATACCACCACCACCAAGGAGAAAGCATGCTGTGATGAGAAGTGGGAACCTAGGACCATTGTGGTGCCCAGTGACTGGGAATGCATCATTTACTTATATTTTGCTGTTCAGCTACAAGCTGTAGGACACCAAGCTCAGAACTTTCTTACTAATATCTCTAAGGTCTTTTCCTGGTTCAAAGACAGCAAAAGCAACATGTCTCATACAGTCTGTGTATTCCCTGTGTATTTGCATGCACCACTTTTCCTGTTTGATATCTGATCTAGACAGGAGAGACAGGCAGGGTGTAAAGACATTGAGAGAAGAATACGTGATTTTGTACTGGCTTGAGCCAACAGGCTGAATTCTTTTGGGCTTAGATCTCCCCAGAACAGGTGTGACATTGGGTTCATCAACCACAGGGCAAATGGAGAGGGCGAAGGGCACCTGAAGGACCACTGGGGCAGGGGGCACCCTAAGTACGAAAAGGTGTTGAAACCAGTGATGACTGGAGCTGTGAACAGTGGGGACTCCTCAGCTTTGCCTGCATGTGAGAGCCCAGTTGCTGGATCACACACTGGGTCGTGTTATGGGAGGGTAACTTGGCTGGCAAAGGGGGGCCAACCGAGTTACCCTTGTGAGGTGGGCAGAACTGCAAGACCTCCCTGTGCTTCATCTTCACCTTACCTATGATAACCCACTGCAGAAAAACTGATGCCCAACAGATTGTGCTCCCTGCTGTGCCCTTCTGAATTTTCTTGGCTGATCATTGCTTCATAGAGAGCTTTGTTGTCCCCATGGCCAAAAGATACTGCAGCAATAGCAAAACAGCATTTTCAGTTACTCCCTGATGCCTGCCTTCATCCATCCGCTGCATCTCCACAGCTCTCACAACAAAGCTGTTGCCATGGGTGCATTCTTTAGGCAGGGCATATCTTAAGCTCTCCATTAAACACCCTACCACTTTCTAGCAGGCTATGTTTTCTCAGTTTGTACTGCTGAAGTGAATACAAATCACCAGTGGTTTTGCTGGAGAACTTTGTCAGGTATATAAGTGACTGCCTGTTAAGGAGGCACAGAGCAGAATGTTCCAGTAATAGGGCATCAATGCAGTGTCTACTCTTGTCATTGCTCTTGTGCATACAGCAACAGGTAACTCCTCTGCATGAAACTGACAACTGATGGAGTACATGGGAATGGTTTTGGTAAGAACCGGAAATACTCCAGAAAAGCAGTGTGAGGTCCCATCTGAGCCGTACTGCTTCAGGAGGGAGATTAGCCATAGAAGTGTATGTGCTTTCTTTCTCAGAGTGTGGAAAGATGGTGTGAGATAGTCCTTTCCTCAGTGGTCCTGTGGGCATGTGCATTGGTGAGGAGCCATCACAGGCCACTTCTTCCTGAGCAAGCCACCACTCTTGTCAGACAATGAGATGCTGAGCAGAAGCTGTTTAGGAGCGACAGGGGTGGCTGGTGATCTGTCCTGCTTGTTGAAGATGACCTCTCAATACAGCCCTGAGCTGCAACATGCCCGGTAGGGATGGACAAAAAAATGAACACACTCAGGTACTGTACTCCAGCAGGGTGTGAAAACACCAATCAGGAGTACAAATCCCGGTAGTATCCATACATACAGAAGGTGAATGTTTATGGGTTTTAGTGTAAGTAATTGTTGGACTCTTTCTTTTCCATTGGATGAAAACTGTAATATTTGATTTTGTGAAATAGCCAGTGTTTTAAATCTGTGGACAAGGTGAGATGACATGTATCATGTGCATAAGAGCAGTTCTCATCAGTGCGGTGTTTGCTGTCTCTAAAGCAGTGCAAGCTGGGACTTTGGGTGCTATGGGAGACTTGCAGCCTACCTGTGCTACACGAGAGTTATTTTGGTCTTTCTATCTGATGAATCTGTATGTTGTACAGTATTGTACATCTTCTGACAAGCTTTATGCAAATAAAGAATGAAACATTTATCTGACAACAGCCACCATAGATGACTCTATGAAGAAGTGTAGGGAAAACCTACAGAGCATGTTTTGACTGCAACGAAGTTGTAGCTCTGCCTTGTCTCAGTCATTTGCCAAGTAGTCTTTCATTTATTTCAAAACAAGCAGTCCAGTTAAACAGCATGGGTGTTGGTCTGAAATTCCTGATTTCTTATGTGTAATTTCACTATGTGAGACTCACTGATTCAAATGAATGAATCAATAAAACAAGGCTGGACTAGCCAGGGTTGATACAGGTCATGTGCCCAACAGTTAGCTGTTTAGGCAATAACTAATTCAGAATTATGATTTAGGTGCTGAATGTGCCTGGTTTTGAAAGCACACAGACTTTATTAACTTCAGCAGAAACTGAAGGATTCTGCTGTACAAAGCAATGAAGCTGTGAGAAACAATCCACTGTTCAGAAAAGTCAGAACATATTTTTAATGAAATCTCTTTTGGTACATAAACCCACGATTTAAGCAATAGCAGTGATGGATCCTGGTAAAATAGCCTAGGGAGACCTGCACCTTCTGGAGGCAGGCAAAACATTTAGGTTTGGATAACATTATCCACCTTTACCTCCAGCACTGCTGTGAAGTATCGCACTTTATCTGAAATCAGCGTGCAGTGAAATAGGAAAGTGATTCTCCCTTCCCAGCCCTGAGGAGGAATGTGGCCTCTATAAATGCTGAGGGACTTGTTATTTTATGCAATAAGATTTGCTCATGTATTTTGCTAGAAATGCCAAGGCTCAGAAAACATGACAAGCAATTGTTCCATGCTCAAGACATCCATCTTTATAAATTATAATTATAAGCACTTTTCAGCTGCAACATTCAACACCGAGATTCCTGGAATAAAGACGCTTTGAACACCAGCTGTTTCCCTTCAAACTGATGGAAATTAAATGTCAGAATTACCTGCTCCTTTGCTGCCAGAAAAATGGCATGTGAAGTGAGTTGAGAGGAGGGATGCAGATGTGTAAGCACTTCATGAATGGAAGACCATCAGATGTCAAGTCTAAAATTTGTCTGTGTTCATGGTCTGAAAGCCAAAGCCTGTGTACCACCTCCCCCTGGATATGCTTCCCAGTCAGGACCTTTACCCTGAGTGAGGTGGCTGTGATTTGTCTGTGGCTCTGTGGCCAGGGGTCAGGAGGAAGAGTAGAGTCTGCATGGCAAAGAGCCCACTCTTCATGTCAGAAGCAGACGGTCTCTGTGCAAGGGTACATGATATCAGCCTCCAGCTTCCCATGAGAACTGCTCCCTGAAACACAAAGTGCCAGGGCTGGGGATGCTGAGCTGTGCCTCAGACTGGGTTTAGGATCATAGACTATATTGAAAAAGACCCTTAAGATCATCAGGTCCAACCATTACCCCAGCACTGTCAAGTCCACCACTAGTCCATGTCACTAAGTGCCTCAACTACACGGTTTTTTAACACTTCCAGGGACAGTGATTTCACCACTTCCCTGGGAAGCCTGCTCCCGTTTGTGTGGTACAATCAGTCTAGTAGTTACATCTCCTTTTCCATCACCTCCCTAGCATGGCCCTGAAATGGGGTTCGCTGATCTATTGAACACTGTAAAAGCCACTTGGTGCTCAGGCAGCAGGGAAGCAATGTCAGCAGCTCTCATTTAACCCAGCGTGCTGTCATCCTGGGAAATGCCATGTTATGTCAGTCATTTCCAGCCTCTAAGCAGCAACTGAAATACCTACAGAGAAATAAAAACCCATGTGTAACTCTTCTGGAAAACAGCTGATAGCAGTTGTGTTCTGTTTGTCTTGTTCCAGGTCAGTAATACACTTGTATAACTGGAGGCGACTCAGCCTGGTTCGCCAGAACCATCCTCTAAAGCCACTTAAACTGCTTAAACACCGCCTGTGGCCAGTTAGGCTTTCCCATGCTGAGTGCTGCTCCCCAGCTGCGTAACAGAGCCACAGGGCTGCACGGGTGCTGCCTTCTGCTATTCCTGTCCCAGTGGGTCCAGGCCCAAAGGTCCATCTCCTGTCTAAGAAAAAATTCAGTCTTTCCTCACCACTTCTGTCCTTGGCCTCATATGGCTCTGGGAGACTGTGGTAGGGGTCACTCCTTCATGTTGGAGGTGTATATTCAATATATTCAGGTATATCTGGTATAGGGAAAACTTCCTGGGCAAATGGCTTCGTTTTCTGCCTCCAATAGCATTTTTGGGTGCCTGGTGAACATGCCCTGCAGCCCCTCTTTCACTGCTTTCCTCTTCCCTCCATTTTGCACCTGCATTAGGGTTGATTTGTGAATAGTTTTGTTTCAGGTTACAGAAAGACTTTCAGATGGACTTTCTTTTGGTTAGAGCATGTCATTTCATTGCCAGCCCTCCCTGTGTGCTTGGTAACCTCATTAGAGAGGCTGGAGAGAGACAGGGTTCATTACAGCTCCAATTTAAAGCTCGAGTAAGTATGAATTCTACTGAATGCAGAGCATCAAGCACTACCCCTTGCCCTCCAGCTCTGGGATCACTTGGTATGCCAAAGAAAATCAAAATGCAAAAAGCAAGAGAAAAGGTTTAGAGCTCTAATCCAAACTGCCAGGAGACAAGACATTTCAGCTAATGACCATGTAAATTCTGCTGTTTCATTCTGGGTATGATACAGGTAGGAAAGTTTCCTATGTGCTGCTGGTGCAGTGCTAAGCTCACTAGTTCATGCTCATTTTTTCTCTGTAAGGAGCAGAGAACTTGAAAGAGACAGAGTCCATCTTAGTGATCCAGGAAACATCAGGATCAGAACAGGACCCCAGTAGCGATATCTGTCTGGATATTGGTGTCCAGTAAGTGTGGAAGCAGAGCTCTAAACAGGGTGAAAAATATGGGGAAGGGGATGGTTAGCTTGAGTGCCCAAGCTACCTTGCACAGGTGTACCTATGTTGTGGTTTAAGGCTTAAAGCACAGCAACCTAACATGATCTGTGGTCGCAGCAGTAGGTAACTTTGATTAACTGTTGCTATCCCGAAAAAAAATGAGCAGAGTCTGATACCACAGTAGAAAAAGACAGCAAAACACACGCAGGGTTTGCCCCATTCTGAGCAAATATATAGTCATAGGACAAATATGGTTTTGAAACGTTCAAAAATTGTCTACCCAGGCAGGCAGCTGCTTCCAGTCAGCTGATTTACAATGCCATACAGGTCCGTGCATGCCAAAGGAAGGATGAGTGGTTATCACAGATGATATATTCAAAAGGTGATCATTTTTCTAAATCAGCTCTGGCTCTAAATCAATACAAAGGTCTAGAAGTGCCTTTAAAAACACATCTCTGAGAAGACAGTGTTGTTCTTAATGTTATGGTCGTGATGACTTTAATCACGTTTTACCTTTTAGATCTTTGCATCGGCAAACTTGCTCTCCAAATGTAGTCTGGCTTGCCTCAGGTCTTCAATATCTGGATTGATTGCAACGTTCTTCAGCAAAGCAAAAGGCTGAGGACACAGTGTTCACGACACTGCTGTCTAGGGACGCAGGGAACGATACTGGTGGGGAACCAAATGGGAAATAGACTGAATATCCTCAGCTTGATGGAAGTGTTGGAGTTGCACTTCTATAACTCTGTGAATTCAGACACATGGTCACTGTGTTAGTCCACAAGAGGAAAAATTTCACTTTTTCTGATTGCCTTCAGTACCAGCCTTTCATTTGCGTTGAGTCCATGAAGCACACACGATAGTGTTTTGAATGTAAAAAAAAAGTTAAGCAAGCATGCATTAATGGATTCAAGAGGTGGAGCTGCTGTGAAAATCAGGTTTATGGGGTGAGCAGCTTCTAACAGCTGGAAAATGGGACATATGAGTTACATTTCCTTCTCCTGGTCAAATGGTCAATCACACCCCCTGCATAACATGTGCACAGAATGTGCCTTGAGAGCCCAGGCAGCTTCTGCCTTCCTGGCGCATGGCTGGAAGTGGGGACTTAGTCATGATCACAGTTTGAAAGAAAAGTCTTGTATCCCAGTTGAAAGGCTTTGTGTCAAGTGATTGTCTCACATGCTGTTTCTTATATCCAAGGCAAAGTAAAAGCCCCAAAGCCTCGATTTGTGTGTCCAAGACTGTGCTGGCCAGGAGGGGACATCCAGTCAGCCTGCGGGTCCATAGAGTTCTCTGCTTCCTCTAATTAATATTATTATTATGCTTCATCTGATCCCAGTTTTGCAATCAAACAAACATGGGTTTGTGTGTGTGTGAGGAAAAGGGACAGAGAAAAAAGCAACAGCCAGAGCTTATTGGTGTCTTATTGGAGATTCACAGGAGCCTCAGAGTCAGAGAGAACTGCTCTGATCAGTGCTGTACAAATAGATCTGATGCCACAATTTGCTCCCATGGACTTCTGAGCCTGACTGTATGGTCTTGTCTCTACAGCTCTCAACACAGCAAGATGGAAGGAACTACAGAGCAAGAAGGAGGAGCTGGAGAGGCGCTTTGAGGAAGAGGTGAAGCAGCTTCACAAGCAGCAGCAGGAGGAGCTGCAGGTGCTAGAGCAGCGGCTGCAGGAGGAGTACAACACCAAGAGGGAGAGTCTGCAGGAGCAGCACAGGCTGCAGCTGGAGCAAGTCAAATTGCAGCATCAGGACCAGGTCAGTTTCTGCCTGTTCCCTTTGAAGAGTAGACTATGCCAGTACTGTGTTCAGCTAATGAAATATATGGAACATTCCAACATGAAGACACAGGTACCGAACCGATGACTGGTTCTCCCTTCTACTGCTCAGAGGAAGAGATGCACCCAGCTCAGAGCATGCCAAAATGAGCGAGCCTACTTGAGGGACCAGAGTTGCTCAGCTTTGACACTGCTCAGCTGGCACTGGTCCCAGCCAGAATTACAGAAGAGGCACTTAACTCATGAGCATTTTTATAGCCAGAAATAACTATGACATGGGTTAACTGAGTTAATCAAGCCTATAGATTCAGTTAGTGACAAGTTGGAATTAGCATCCAAGGGAGCTGCTTCCCAGTAGACTCTTTGCTATGAAAAATTGCAGACAGGAGGTTACACTGCAAGATTAACAGAGTTGTTTGGGATGTGGATATGAAACACGCAGAAGACAGAAAAATCCTTGCAGACCATCTGGAACCTATTTAATTGTTTTTCTAGATAAATAACCTGCCAATGATGGTGGCAGTGAAAGGAGAATCCTTCACCTTCTGAAGATGTTGGAGTTGAGCAAATCATTCCTATGGGGTGCTGCTCAGCTAAGAAGCAATTAGTGTATGAATAAAGACTTAAGAAAGGGCAAGGTAAAGAACATGGCAACACTCATGAGGTTTCAGCACACAGACAGCATGTTCAAGGACTGTGCTCTCGGAAAAGAGAAATGATAGTCCCTATCCCATTAGTAGTCCACTGAGTCATCTAGCCCCACTTTCTCTGCTCTTTATTTATTTTCCCTGCAATGTTATCAGCAGGCTGAATCCTCGTTGTTTTGCAAACAGTTCTTCACCACTGAGTTCTTTTTGCAAACAGTTCTTCACCACCCACATTATTATGAAAATTAGTTTAGATAGTTTTAAATTCCATGTTAAAGGCCTATCTTTCATTCTAAGAGCATGGTTTTCCCAATATGCGTGGAAATTTTGCTTCTTTTGGGTAATCTAACACATGCATTTGACAGTTAAGTGCATCGAAATAACATTTATTCCATTCAAGACATGCTCAGCTGCAGTAACTTTCTGCCATTATTTAACATAACAGTGAGCAAAAAAACTGTTTAAAGTCACATTAATTTGCAATGAACAGCTGTTTCATTGTAAAAGCAAATTAGTTTGATCCTCTGCATTGCTAGTTATCACAGATAATGTGTTAAATGGAGGGAATAAGATCCCTGTGATTACAAAACCCAAAAAAGCAAATTGATGCAAAACTGCTCTGGACCACTGACAGCACCTTGATCACCACCTCTTACTGTATTGTCTTTAATGATGCATATCAAAACACCATCATTAGGGAGCTTGCTTTGCCTTTACCCAAGTCTGTTAACAATGTACTGAAGGAGTCCCAACCCATTGGGTGCACAGGAACACAGTCTGCCCACAGCTTTCTTCCAGCTGTATCCCTGCTCCCATGATGGCTCTGTACTATGTGGTGTGTGGTGCACTGCACAGCTTGAGGCAGCGGGACCTCTTTCTGGCCTCAGTATGAGATTGGGGAGGAAGATTTGTGGCTTCACTGCTGTCTTGCTTACTTCCACACTGACCGGAGAACTTGTGTGTCTGCACTGAAAAAGGTGCTGTCATAACCTTCCATCAGTTTATTGATGTGGACTCAAAATACATGGCTCAAGAGGACATACATAGGAATTCGGGTATTGATGACTTTGTAGGATACTCTTTTTCAAGAGGAAGTGTGACAGATTGCAATTCCTTTTTCATGCCCACTGATAATAATTTCAATGTTTCTGTAGAAATAAATATTTTAGAACTGTGAATCATTCATAGGCACTTTCCAGGGAAGTTAATTCAAAACCTTACAATAAAAATCATTGCAGCAAAGTGCCGTGAAGACAAAAGCCAGGATAGCTCAGTACTGTGCACATTTCTCTGACCATCAAAGGGAGTCAGGCCATCAATTTAGATTAACGGAATGTTGAGATTTCTGAACATTTTGCAAATGGCTTCTTCACTTAAGGGCTTTTTTGCCTTTTCTTTGTTATGTATCTCTTTTATCACCATTAAGTTAAAAGAACAAAACCACTATCAGCATTGACTATTTACTACCGCTCAAGGCATCAACATGCCTGTTTCGTAACGAATAAAACTGTCTCAGGTACTGGAAGCGTCACTCTCAGTAGATGCCTTTCCTGTTTCCAGCTCACTGGAGCTCTCTATCAGTGGCTTCTTGGCAGGCCACAACACGTCTAACCTTGTCTCTATGTCTCCATTCATTGTGGTTGGAGCAGGTGGAAGATATCACAGCTGTACATGAAGCTGCAATGTTACAGCTGGAAAATAACCACATAGTTGCCATCACAGTGCTGCAGGATGAGAATGACTGCAAAATCCAAGGTAAGACAAAGACAACTCCATGGCTACAGAGTTATTCCAGAGCTGGGATTAGCACTGTAGTGAGGTCATGTAAGCCTGGATTTTCTTCCTCCAGAACAGGGGATACAGAAAATTTGTGTGGGTCTAGAGCTTTCATGTTGTGGGGGGGGGACCACCAGGTTTGTCCTAGGCGTTAGGGAGAGCTGTGTACAATGTGTATAGCATCTGATTTGGACCTGAGACTATCTTAGGGGTCTTTGGGCCAAAGACAAGGCTTTCTCCATGAGTCACTGAACACAGAGATAAAATTCCACCTCACTTCACATGGAGAATTCTCTCAAGAGCCTAATCCTTGGGAAGCCAGAGCTCACTGGTGCTTGGGAAGCCAAAGGTCACCGAGCATCTCTGAATTTTGGTGCTTAAATGCCTATACTGCTTCTAAAAACAATGCTCACAATTTTCAGTAGCAAAAGATGTGGCCGTGCTGAGCAGACCAAAGCCACACGCTGATGCAAATCAGCACCTCAGCGCTGTTATAAAGAATTTTGTTTTATGGGTTTTCCTTGGGATTTGATGCTTCTGGCAGAGCTGTGTCCTCCCTAACAGTTCAGTACCTAAATATGTCCTTGCACACGCCTTAGCTGATATGTAATAGTATCTGTACAATCCTCTTTTTCTTTTTTTATCTTTTTACATATAAGCATGAGAGTCTAATTTTTAAATAGCTCTAAGTAGGTTTTCCCACAGCTTTCCCCAAACAGACTCGTATTGCTTAGCTTTGCACTGTGTCGATTACAGACACAGCCCAGAGCATAATGTGAGCTGAGAAGAGTCTATTCCCCTCTCCTCTAGGCAGAGATGGTATCTAACCTACTATTTTTAAATTAACATATACAATTTTGAAAATAAATAAACACACACACAAAAAAGGATATTCTTATCTGTCCATTTCTGTCAGTGTTTTCTGATGATAAAATTTGGCTGTGGTCAAGTTTGTGTTCCCTACTTTTGGTGCGGGTATGAAATGCCCTCCTGTGCATGGAAAAGGCATTGCAGCAGCTGCTATCTAGTGCGCTGTACAGGGCATTAGAGCATCAGTATTATTACTGCTGTTATTGTGGCTAGTGAGCAAAGGTTAGAGGGGAAAACCCCATGGAGTTGAGGGTAAAGACACAAAAAAAAAGAGTGTTCATATACTAAAAAGGTAGGTTTAAAAAGGAAGAACGGTACTGAATGACAGTTTCATGCCATTGGCATAGACATTACATTACATTTTACTTTGGTTATTAAACTTTTGGTTATTATTAAGTCCAGAGTGAGTTGTTCTAGTATTGAAACCTTTCATTACGTAACAGAAAGAGGGGGCTTATTTGTCTTTGGGTCTGTCAGTCTCACTAGTGGAATAAACCTCACAGGTCATCTGCCACAGCTCCTGGAAAAGCACAATCATTTGCATTTTTGCATCTGAGCCTCTGAACCCCTCTCTATCTTCTCAAATAAATTGCAACCCCAGCTTTTAAATATATCTAATTTCAAAATCTTTGATGTGGGGATATTCACTCTGAATGGTAAATGAACCATTGTCAGACTGACCCTGTCCGGATCAGAGCTCCCTGGAGCTGGGAATTCTGAGCAGTTCTGAAAAATCAGAATCTGGTCATGTAGAAATAGAGGATCCAGTGAAGGATCAGGAAATTCTGATCCCAAAACCAATTTACCTAAGGTTTCAGAGTATTTTGCTACTAGTTTTGTACTCAGCATCCATGCCCTAAAACTGCATCCCGAATTGCACATGGCTAATGATGTCTGTGTTCCCAGAGCCTGGCTTGCTGGACTTCACTTAGCAATGTTATGTCTGTGTTTCTTCCCCAGAACTCAGTGTTGCTCACAAACTGGAAAAGGCACAACTGGAGGAGAACTTTGAAAAACTGCGGCTCTCACTCCAGGTTAGCTGTTTTGTTATTCCCACCCCTGCAGTGATGCTGTGGAGCAGCCAAGGGGGCAGCCCCAGCCCCACTGCTGGCTGCCAGCACACCAGGCTGTTGCGTCTTACCAGCTATAGCTTGTCTTGTCCTCTGCCTGTCCAAACTGGGATCTAGCAGAAAAGGTGCTCCTTCAGGTTTTATCCTCCCTCTTGGCTGGTTCAACACAACACCATCTGAAAGAAAAGAGAGGGCAAACCTGAAGGGACAATAAGGCAGCTGGATAAAGCAAAGAAATGTCCTTTTGACCCTGCTGGCCTGGCATGAGTCATGAAGTTGAGCGCTTCCTTGCATGGTGGGGAGGGCTTCAGCACCTGAGGTGGCTGTGAGCATCACCTTGTCTGTATGGTACCCTGTGGCATGCTCAGAAGCGCTGACCGGAAAGGAACACTGCCTGGCCCTGTGCCTATGCTTTAAACTCTTTCCCACTGGCTGAATGCATGGAAGCTGGTCCCACGGTGTTGGCACATTTTCATTCCTGCCGGAGGGCAATGCAGTTCCTGATGAGGGATGGACCAGGGTTGGTCGCACTGTACAGCCAGGCTATGGCCAGCCGGGGTCAGTCCTGCACATCACAACTCCCACATCCAGCTGTTTAACACCACGCTCAAGCTCAGCTTTTTCAATCCTTGTATTTCTGTGCTGTTCTCACTCTCTAGATGAAGAAATCCCAAGGAGTGGAGGGCAAAAGCGTGCTCCTGTGATTCACACTGAGTTCAGAGATCTTGTCTGAACAAGCAAAGATGTCACAGCAAATAATGCAGGCTGTGGTTGATTTTGTAGGCAGAGATGAATTACAGCTTTTAAAACCCCTGACTAGCACATACTGTTGCACGCAGCAACTGTCACTGCCTTCCTCATCTACTCTGACAGTTTGAGGCATGTCCGCAGTTTTGCAATAAGCACTGATGTAATGTTACAACCAAGCAATTTCATATATGAAAGATAAAAACACCGGTTTCACAGCAACTGTGGCTTTTACAGGTGTTTTATAGAGAGAGGTAGCAGGAATGCCTTTGATGGTAACAGAAATGAGATTGCTTAAAATAACATGTTGTTCCTATTTATAGTTTCTGAGATGAAATGACAGTCATTTAAAGCTTACACCACTAAATCCTTGTTTTTTACCTTGTTTTAAGGCTAGAAAGAGAAAAGAAGGAGGGAGAAGATATCTACTACCTCATTCAGACTCTAGGGACTGTACAAATGATCTCCCTCATGCCTGTGATGCAAATGACAGCTCTCTTAAGGACGGACATGCTCCTTCTCATCCAGCCCAAAGTGATGGGGTGATTTAGCGTCAAAGACATTTCATGAACTAGTGTGAGGCAGTGTCAGCCAGCCTCAAGCATTGCAGGGATTTCAGGATTCCCTGAGGCACTGGGTTATCACAAAGCCCACTCTGTGTTCAAGTGACCTTATGTAAAAAACCCTACCTTGCAGGGCTTCCTAAGCCTTGTCCCGTTGCCCTGGTGGTTTCACAGAGCAGATTGACTTGTATGAATGTAAGAGGGGTGGTAACATGGCTGGGGTGTTCATTGGTGTGTCTCTCCTGCAGGACCAGATAGACACCCTCACCTTCCAGAACCAATCTCTTAAGGCCAAAGCAGACCGATTTGAAGAGGCTCTGAAGAAAAACACAGAGGAACAACTGAAGGTAGATGGCCACTATAACTATACAGTCATCAAGTTAGGCATTTCTAAGTATGACTCACATTAGACGGCTCAGTGGATAACACTGGGATCCTTATCCCAGGCACTGGGGGAGCAGACCCCAGACAAGACCCAAAATCCTGAGCTCTGAGGAGGAGTCAGAAACTTTAGTCTAGGTCCATGGTTTTCTGATTTTACTTGTTTTTCTTTATTCTTTCACATAGCATTTTTAGCTCTGTTTCCAAAGCATTTCATTAACTCCATCTAGTGTATCCTTACTGCTGCCTATCTTCTTTCCCTTATTCCTCTCTTTCTCTTTACTTTTATGTCTTTGCACACTTAGGATTTTGGGGGTTTTGTTTTTAGTGGTACGTGTGCGTGTGCCTCCTGAACCATCTTCTTCTGCATTCCCTCTTTTCCTTTATTCTTTTTTTCCTGGATTTGCAAGGGACAGTCCTGCCATTTGAAGTATTTATTCAACTGCTCTCTGCTGGGGCACTGCTGTTTATTTACAGTGTGTAAGTGAACACTGCAATTAATCTGAAATTAAATAACCCTGAAAAAAACCTTGGCCATTTCAATGTGTGCACAGCACAACCCCATGGGCAGCTGTATCAAGATAACAGAAGGAATAGGATGAAAGTAGTGGTGTGAGGAAGGGGCTCAATAACTCCTTAAGAAAGGAGCAAAAATGTCTGAACCAGGCTTGGCCGTGGGAAACAGGCAGCATCAGTCCCTTTCCACCTCCTCTGCAGTACTTAATTTACATGAAAGGACAAATTCCGCTGTATCACACTGATGTTAATGCCAAGCACCACCAAGCAGCTCACTGGAGTGAGTTACACTGGGAAAAATCCAGAGCAGCTTAAGTCAGAAGACAGTATTTCATGAGTATAACTCAGAGTACATTCTTTTCCCACAGGTTTAACCCTAATATCCCCTGCATCTGAAGTTCTCAAGCCAAAGAAGAACTTTTTCCCGCTATATCTGATCTTTGTTAACAGGCACTGCGATGTTGTGGGGCAGGCAAGACAGAACACTGGAGTTTACAACTCCAGTCCCCTTGTCTAGTTTCCTCAGTTTCATGTTTGTACTTTTTCCAAGCCAAAATCCCTGCACAATCATAAAACACAGTTGTCAAGAACTGCTATGTTCCCAAGCTAGGAATGGGAATGAGGTTTCTGAACAACCTGGCTTCCCATCCTTCTAGCCATCAGGGTGGTCAAAAGAAAGGTACTGTTGGTTATCCAACCAAAGGGATGGTCTAGGAGAGAATGTCAGGGTCCTGATGGGCTGCAGAGGCCCAGGTCTAGGTGGTTTTCACATCACTGAGACTCCTAAACCACTGGGTGCATTGAGGAAACTTTGTCTTATGAAGATGTGTTTATGGCTAACTGACATCAAAGCACCTGGTATATTTCCTAGATTGTACGAGCTCCATATCTGCATTTAGAGAAAGATCTGAAGAGCTTAAAACATGTTCTGGAAATGAAGAACCACCAGATTCACCAACAGGAGAAGATGATTATGGACCTAGAAAAACAGGTGAGTTATCATTTTTCCTCTGGAAGAGACAACAGAGAGATCATAAACTAGAAGTTTGTTTACAGCAGATGAACTTTAAAAGGGTGAGGAAACACATGAGGTTGAGGCAAGACACAGTCAAAAGGGTTCACAAATGGATCTATATTGTGTGATTCCACTGTCAACCTACATACCTGTGCCATGTCTCAGGCTTTCACTCAGAAATTGAGACTTTTTCCCATCCGTTCACCCACCAATGACACTCTGGATTTCTCCCACACATCCATTGATCTGTATTGCTTTTTCATGCAACACATCCTCAGCCTGTTATATAGCCAGTGAGGGAAGTGGTGTAGGAAGAATGCAAGAAGTGGAACTTTGTGTTAGTCCAGGGCTTCATTTTGTACCCCAACCTGCACCACAGGAGCCAGGTAACCATTTAGGGCTGGAAAGGGCAAGTAGAGGAAGACTGAGCCACATGTGTCTTGCTGCTGCTTGTGCAGGCATTTAGGGAGCTCCAAGGCACAAGTATGAATTAGCAATATTCAGCAAGCAGTCCCTAGCAAGGCTTATGCTAGGAGAGGTCTCTCCATCCCTAAACTAATGCTTTTCTGCAGTCTACACTGTTTTCTCACTCATTGCTTGTGGCGTTTCCTAATGAAGAACTCCCCAGTTCACCATCAATTACCATTTTTGTTGGAGAGAAGGTTCATTTTGTAAGGCATAACCTACAGTGACAGTAAGTGTACAGTGTGGTGGCAGGGTGAGGTAATGCCTCAGCTGGGGAGCCAGGGCAGCTGGTTCAGCACAGCATTCAGCAAGATTTGTTTCCATTTGCAGGGAAATTTGAGAACTCTGATGCTTATTTTGCTGAACAAATGCTTAAGTGCTTGTACAGAAAAATGCCTCTTTACAACTGAGGCTTGTTCACTGTGCTCCTTCCAACACGCTGCCCCTAGAGCTGAGCCAGCGTCTGAAAACGTGCTGTATAGTGTTCTACTGAAAAAAATACAAACCAGACAACAGCCTACATAATTCCTGGTAATGAGCTGCTTTCGCTAATTAACCACATACAAGACACAGTCCTGCTCCTGTCCTTTGTAACACAGAGGCTGCTGGGGCACAAAGGCTTTCTGTATAAAGATAGAATCACAGAATGGTTTGGGTTGGCAAGGACCTTAAGATCAACAAGTTCCAACCCTGCTGCCATGGTCAGGGACACCTCACACTAAACCATGCCACCCAAGGCTCTGTCCAACCTGGCCTTGAACACTTCCAGGGATGGAGCATTCACAGCTTCCCTGGGCAACCCATTCCAGTGCCTCATCACCCTCACAGTAAAGAGCTTCTTCCTTATATCTAACCTGAACTTCCCCTGTTTAAGTTTGAACCCATTACCCCTTGTCTTATCACTACAGTCCCTGATGAAGAGTCCCTCTCCAGCATCCTTGTAGGTCTCCTTCAGATACTGGAAGGCCGCTCTAAGGTCTATGAGACTACTCTGAGATCCGCCTTTATAAGTATCAGAACATTTAGGACATCTCCAGATGCTGTGAAAGATGGGATGCCTTGTATGGGAGCAGGAAAGTGTTTCAAATAGAGGGTCAGGCTTGGCTCCTTGTCTGCGAAGGGGAGGCTGGAAATGAAGGTGGCAGGAGAGGCATGGTATAGGGTGAGGGTTGCAGTGGAAAGGGCAGGAGATGCACATCTTCTTCCACGCTACATGCTGACATACCTACTACTTCTTAAAACTATTCAGGGAGCAAAAATGGCTCTCAGAGCATTTCAAAACGGAGCCCGGTATTTGCTCTGGTTTAACAAAACATATTGGGATAGGCCAGAATATCTGAGAATCGGGAGTACCCTTTATGGTTACCTACCTAGGCTGGAAACCACTGCATAAAACTGATGCCTCTGACATAAAGTGTGAGTTATTGCTAACTCCAGTGCACAATATTTTGGTTCTTTATAAAAGGTTGTGAAATTCAATAACAGAGCTCACACAGAGCTAAGGTTACCCTGTGCTATCTTGTTTTCTTGCAAAAATGTTGAATTCAGCAAAATTCAAACTGATAGAAAATTAAGAGCTAAGGTGATAAAGTACGTCAAATTCAAAACTTGGGGAAAACAGGGCATCTCAGGCTGTGGTACCTGCCTACAAACATCTTACTGACATCTTAATACACTGCTATTGACATCCTCAAACTCTGTCCTTGAAACGTCCCAAGTAAAATCTGCCTACACTTGGGATAGGATTCATTTCACTTAATTGTAACTTAATGTTAAATGTCTAGTTTAAGCCTGTCATTAAAGTCGACACTGTCAGTAGTGGAGAGAAGTGTCTCCAAAGGGCAGCCCACCTCATGTGAGTGCAGCAGCAGTCTAAGGTTGCTGCTGGGTGTAATCTGTGTTGGTAGGTAACTCTTTCCTCCCCAAAACTAGGGAATCATAATCCTAGAGGTTGGATGCCAGACATTTATGTCTGATGAGATTACCTGAGCTGGATGATGCACATCATACCACTGTGCACTCCTCCTTCATCACTGGATGACCACTTGCACCACAGTGCCATTTCCAACCCCATGATCCCCAAGCGCCACCAGCTCTCTGTCCAAGAGCAACATCTGGTAACTCTGGCTCCTGAGGGATAAAAACTGTGGGGGAACCACTGAGGAAGAGGTTTTATATGCACTGCACAAGACTAAGACCTTCCTCTTCCTCAGTTAGCAGTAAGAGGTAGTTCAGCTCTGCCCCTGCTGAATGCTCTGCTGATGACCCCACTTCTGCAGTATGATGTGGTGTGACTCAGATCTGTAAGTCTCAGCTGCGGTTAAGATGACCACCTTCATCTTTTCTCAAATACAGAATTTGCTTTAGGGACAAATAACGATAAGGAACAGACTCTCTCAGATCAGGTGTTGGGCTTTCTGCAGACTGAACAAACCTCCCTTTGTTGTAGGCGGAAAAAAACCTAAAACTGGAAGAAAGAATCACCATGCTGCAACAGCAGAATGAAGAACTCAGAGCCAGGATTGAGCAAAATACTGTCATAACAAGGTTTGTGCTGATATTTGCAATCTGTCTGAGCTTGGAAGGAGACTCCAGATCTTAGCTGCCCAAGGCTGACACTTATTTCCTAAGGGAAAAAACTTATTTCTTCCTGAAAGTGCATTGGTGTCCTGTTCTGCTTGTTTTATCAAATCTCCTTCATATTGGGGTTTGCTTACTTCAGTGTAAGGAAGGCCACGTATCTGTGTACTCCCATGATTATTATGCTGAAAGAAAAGTTGCCAGTGGCTTCTAATCTCAGCATCAGTGCCCTGAGACCCGTTAGTCAGTGGGTAACGAGGATGGGAAATGGGACAGTTTCAGAAGAGACATCCTAATGATGCCACTGTCACCCAGGCCGAGTTATCCTTTGGTGTGTTTTTTCATCTGCACTGTTTGCACCCTTGTCACAACTTGACAAAGGTGACAAGGCTCCTTGTGTTAGGTGGTATAGAAGGAGAAGGGTAGGACAGTCACTGTCCTGGACAGATTTTAGTCTGCTGTAAGGCAAGAGACCACAGTAAGAGCCAGGAGGAAGGGGAACCAGGGATTGATGCTGGAGCTGAACTTGTCCTAGCACACAAGCTGCGTAGCTGTCATTGTTGCCAGAAATAATGCTATTTGCTTCAAATGCAATTTAATTTTTAGCTGACATTTTAAAGCCTCAGCATCTCATCTCTGATTTAATTTTAGTTTTTTTTTCTTTCTAGTGTCTTCTTTATTAATGATTCAGCCTTTAATAATTGTCTCGCATGTAGATGTTTTAAAAAGGCAGCACTGTTTAAAGTAGCATTCGGATTGGGTGAGGATTATATTTCCTCTCACCTGATTTAAATACCTGTAACGCACATGTCACTGTCTGAGGTGGGTGTCTGCAGGCTTGCTGTGCTTGGGGAAGGAAAACAGGGATTTAAATGTCTTGATTCCCCAGACCAGTTTGATGCTTTGGGCTGAGTGAGTTGTGGTCTAGAAGTGGCAGTCTCTCTCCACGCCTGTAATAGCAGCCAGGGTGTCTGGGTCAGTGCTTGGCATCTCTGCATTGCAGCTGCCTGTCTCTGGCTGGGTGAATAGCACCCTCCATGGCCAGCACCTGGCTGCAGTGCTTTGCTTCTTGCCTCTAACTATGTAGATACTGGTTTTGAAGAACACCTCTGGGGAGAAATTCTTGAGGTCAGCCTGGGAAGTCAGTTCAGAGGACAGTGATTTTCCACAGTAACAGTTTGGGTACAGCTCTGGGGAACAGCTACAGGGACAGCATTAGCCAGGGCTTTAAAAGCCAGAGTTATTAAAACATGCGTTTTCCTGGCAGCAGCAGCCACCCTGACTGCTCATTTCTGTTGTACTGGCACTGCCTGTAGTGCAGCAGGAGCTGCCCTCACTGTGGAGTAGTGCGGATTAGAGCAATTTCTGCTGATCTGCAGTTTGGGTGCCTGTGTGGCTGAGGCAGCCCAGCAGCAGTGGGAGGAGGAATGGGAGCCAGAGCAAAGCCGGTGTCTGCAGCACAGACAGAAGTGGTGGCCCAGAGGAATGAGGAGGTTTGAGGGAAGCACCCCTGATTGATTTCCAATCATAGCTAAGGGCAGGTATAAAGGAAGGGAGAAGTACCTTGTACATAGATCATGCACCAGCTTTGGATACAGGAGCTCCGCAGAGTACCTGCAGGGACTTCCCCAAGCACTTGAATAATTCATCTGATTTCCCAACATCTTAGATTTTCTCCCCAAATCAACCAGAATTTTTTTGTCCTTTGGGCTGGGATGTTTGAGGAATGGTATTTTCCAGCACTCTAGAGATGAAGATGACCAGGATGGTGTCTGGTCTCTGTCAGAATAACCCAGACACCTACTGACCTCTGGGCTTTTTGGGAGAGGCTTTAAAAAGTGAGTTGAGCACGCAACTCAAGCATCACTATCGTGTTGCTGTGCCCCTGCAGACCTCTGCGGTTTTATGGCTGTCATTTGTTATAGCTGCCTAGATTTTGGGGAGGCTGGGAGAGGAACATGTCTAATCATAAGCCTGCAGTGCTGAGGATGAAGGTTTCCCTAGATGGGTTGGGTCTAAAATTGGAACATGTATCTCAAGATACAAACTTACATAGTGAAAACACATTTGCTTTTACACTGAATGATGAAGAGGTGCTGTACATCTGTATGTAAGCAGCGATGCTGCATCTGCTCATGTCTGTCCCCATGGTGCAGCAGCAGCAGACTCAGGTTGGCTGAGCTGGCGGCAGAGGCTTTGCTGGAGGATGCCGGCACTGCTGGCTGTGCAAGCTGTGTCTCTGAGTGGCGTGAAGCTGGCTCTGCCTGTGCCTGCTCACATCACGTCAGGTCACACAGTGTGAATTCCCAGTGTGATGTGCACAAGGCTAAAATGAGCAGCGTGACAAGCTTCCTCCATCCATGTGCCAGAGCCGGTCTCCCTGGGGGACGTGCCCACATGAAGCATGATGGGCTCACTGGCATTTGGCTGCATGGCTCTTGCCTGCTCAGATGTCTCCCTACTCAGCTGCAGATCATGGGAATAACTTGCAGCCTGCCTCTGCCAACAAATTGCAGTGTTCATTGGTGCTGCAAAGTCTACTGTGTGAGACACTCCAGAGGACACCGATACCATTGCATCCTACCAAACCTCTAGCAAGCAGCATGAAGCAGCACTGTAAAGAAAGCTGATACACACTGATGGGCTGTGGATTGCCCTTGCCTTTTGTCCAAGCAGTGCCTTTAGCTGAAGAGGGAGTTGAGCCATTCACTGTGCTGTGAGGTCTGTGCTGGAGTGACAAGCCTGTTCCCAATACCCATGTGAGCTTTACCAGCCAGTCACACACTGAGAGCATCACAAAGGCAGGGAAGGCATGTGCTTTTATTTTCTCTGTGACTGTAGTGATAGGGACAAGGGACACGGCTTTAAGCTGAAAGAGGGGAGATTTTGATTAGACATTAGCAAAAAATTCTTCAGCATGAGGGTGGCAAGACATTGGCACCCCATCCCTGTGCCAGTGATGGGTGCCCATCCCTGGCAGTGTTCAAAGCCAGGTTGGACAGGGCTTTGAGAAACATGGTCTAGTGGAAGGTGTCCCTGCCCATGGCAGGGATGATCTTTAAGGTCCCTTCTAACCTAAGCCAGTCTATGATTCTAAAGTTCTATGATTCCAAGGTTCTATGATTCCATGAAAGCTGGCTGGAAAAGGATGTAGTGGGGCTTTGTGTATAACTTATTGACAGTCTTGTTAGACACTGCAAAGAAAAAGCAATTCCATGTGTAGCAAGCAGTTTCCTATGGAGCTCTTTCTTCAGGGTGAGCTCCCATGTGGACTTTGTTGTGCCTGTTAGACCATGAGCTCATGCCACAGCCAGTTCTCAAAGGGACTGTGAATAGGATTTTCCTCTTCTACCAGGCAAGCAGCTTTCTGAAAACTGCTGCCAACTTATGTCCTTTAATCCCTGGATTCTACCAGCCAGTGCTTCATGGTTCAAAACTGGCAGGGGGGTGCGAAAGGAACAGACTATTTGTGCTCACCTCAGCTTCATTTCTGTAGGACCCAAGGCTAAAAAAGCAGAAATTCTTTATAAATCTTTTTAAAAAAAAGTCAGAAATGCCCCCCACCCCCCATCCCCACCCAGGGACTGCTGATACCATGAGAGTGGACCAGCAGTCCATGACATCTGCTATGGGCTTCAGGCTATACCCAGAGAAGGAGTTGGGCAGAATTCCACGTGTGCATCCAAAATCCACACCCAGTTGCTGGGGATGAGGTTAGGTGCCTCCCCGTTTTATTCCTGTAACATCCTAAGTGCCTGTAAATCACATTAGATACATGCCCAGAGCTGCCCCAGGCGGATCACATCAGGACCTGCCTCCTGCCCAAGCGTAACAGGCTGCAGAAGAAAGGTGTTGCCACACACATCCTCTGGGATGGTGATGTCTCCAACACATGCCCAGAACACATCTGGATCAGGTCCCACACTGTGCCCGCCCTGCCCCATTTCTTTTAAAACCAGTCACCTGGTTACATGAGAGCAGACTCACTGAGGCTGTGGTGCCCATAGGACACCTCCATGCACCAGCTCCCCAGGGTTAGGGCATTCTGGGGACAACACATCTCTGTCATGGGCAGTCAGGAATAGAGGGTTCATTGGGACCAAGGAAGAAGGAGCTGCTAAAGGACCCATAGCCTCACAAACATTGACAGAGCGGAGGGAAGGCCTTGAAGCTGAGCTGCATCCTGCATCAGGACATCATCTAAAATGAGGAGCATGGAGGGTGCAGAGTCCTTTCCTTTTGCGTGCAGTAGCAGCTGGTTACAAGAGTCAGGGATGGAACTGCTGCCTCTCACCTCTTTGCTCTTGCTTTGCCACTCCACAGATGCTGTCTTGCTCATGGCACAGCTTTGGTGGAAGGGTTGAGAAACAAGGGTGAGAGTCCGACAGAGTTGGGACTTTGGATTTTCATCTTTGATGAGACAGAAGAAGGCCTAAACCCCTGGATCATCCCCCTCTGGGGACTACTCTAGCTGCTATGCTGCTCTGGAAAAAAATTGGGCAGTGTTACAAGCATCAGTGGGCTGTCTGTGTTGTGAAATGCCACAGGGTAAAGGTGTCTGTAACCAGACACTGAAGCCGGGGCAAAGCAGTATTTAAGGAGTGTGCTGCTTTGTGCTGCTTCTTTGCTATTTATCTGCAGGCTGGGGCAGGCCATGCTGGGTTGATCTGTGAAGACTGTGGTCTTCTTGGTGCAGGAGCAGAAGTGCAGGCCAAGGGGTTGCATGTGCATAGAGCACAGGTGCCGGCTGACCCAGGGCTCTCGGGTCCATCAGGTGTGGGTTTGGCTGCATAGAGGTTTATGGGCACATTGCCGGAGAGAAACTGCTGTGCCAGTGAATAGGTTGTGCAAAAAGAGGCCAGAAGCCCATGCTGGGCACCTCTTTCCTCCATGTGCTGAACAAGGGGAGATAATGCCCCAGTCAGCTTCATTGCATGGCAGCTCCTGGAGGAGTAAAACCACCTCAGCCACAAGCAAATACTGATGGGAAGAGGACCTCTAAAACCACTGTGCTTACCTACATCCCCAGGTAAGTATCTGAGGCCAGCTCTGAAGTCTCTCCAGCTGACAGCAGCCAAAGCTGGGTGTGAACATGGGACTGGCATGGAGCTGGTGTGTTCTGCATTCCTGGTTTCCCATTATGGGAGCAGGTCGGATTCTCTTCAGCTCCCACCCTACTCACAAACACATGTTCTCCCAGGGAAGGCCAGCGCTGAGGGAGGATGCATACACATGAGTGCCTTATCTCAGCCTAAACTTCTAGTTACCCTCCCCACCCCCTCTGTCCTTGAGTGGACAATCCTGTTCTTGCATTTTTGCTACTTTCGAGTATATAATTAATGAAACAAATACGCTAAATTTTTCTTCTAGGAATTTCCAATTTTTATTTTGTTGTTTGTATGGGAAAATGGCCATTTCTAAAGTATCTGGAGTACGTGGTCAATGCACAAAGCCCTCGGCACCTTTGCATGCCCCGCATGATGCTGACAGTTGCATGAGGCCATGGAGGAAGGTTGGGACTCACCCCATATATACTTTGTTAGCTGAGGTGCCTGAAAGAGGTGTAAAGCAAAGACACAGGCACCCCTGGAGGCAGAGTCAGACACTGGGGGGCAGCTGTCACGTGTGGAGATGCCTTTCTCACCCAGCAACGAAAAGACATGGGGCAACTCTGTCTAACTTGGGCAGCTCAGTTGCAGCCCTAGGGGCAGATGATGGATGGGATAAGATGGGATGGGATGGGATGGGATGGGATGGGATGGGATGGGATGGGATGGGATGGGATGGGATGGAAGGAGGTGCTCAGGGCCTTGCCTCTTGTGTAGTGCTGGCTGCATCAATGCCACCATCTTTACAGTGGTGTGCCTTACATGCTGTCCTGCTTCCCTCTCCAGGCAACTGTCAGAGGAGAATGCTAATCTTCAAGAGTACGTTGAGAAAGAAGTAGAGGAGAAGAAAAAGCTGAGCAGGACTAATGAAGAGCTCCTCTGGAAGCTGCAGGAAGGAGAAGCTGTGAGCCCCGTGAAACTGCCCCCCTCATCACCCACTTCTTTTTATCGGTGCTCATCAGGGAACTCCTCTCCAGCAAAAGTCAGAACCTTGCGGCGATGACTGAGCCCTCAGCGCCGGAGGTTCCCTGCCTTTTATGCATTTCTGATCTGCTAAATGTTACCATCCAAGGAACTATCACCATCAGCAGGCGCCCAGGGCTCATGGCTGCAAGCACGCTTAGTAGCTGCATAGCTTTACACTAGGCAGGGTACTCTTATAGTCCCAATATAGGAGCTCTTGGTTCTGATGTGTTGATTAGGGTAGCAAGAAAAGATAGCAAAAAGCTAGGACAGCAGAAAGTTAGGATAGCAAAATGTTTGAGTTGTTAATGTTTTAACTGTGGTTAGAGCCAGGAGTTGGAAAATACTTTATTAATGGTTCATCAGAACGAACTTTTGCTGCAATATTTCAGGTTAGTTACAAATACAATTCCAGTTGTGAATATTTCTGTATATGTGTCTGTGTTTATATATATGTACGTACTGTACCTTTATACCTATATATAGACGCACACACATATATATGTAGTTGCAGATGTTCTGAATTGCATTTTTTATATTATTGGATACTACTAAGTGCTGATATATTTTCATTAGTCAGCAGTTTTCTAACTCGTGCCTAAGACTTGCATCTAAACAAAATGCATTTCTGTTCAGCCTCCCAGGAATATTTATACCCAACCTAGAAGAAAGTTACACAGAAGTAGAAGCGCCTTCCAAACGACCACCAAGTGGTACTCTATGTAACATGAACACCAGCGACTCTGAAATTCTGAGACAGTACTGCCTTTGAAACCGTCACCTTTGCATTGAACACCAGACAATATACACATACCATTCGCCGCTTTTTAAATCTTAGCATTGATATTGTTAGTGGAGATATGCTAGAGGTGAGAAACATGAGGCTTTTAGCAAATTTGATAGAGGTTACCGGTTAACGTGTTTCAATTTTAGTGTCTTTAAATCCTAGTTAGATCTTATCTTGGTTTACCTTGTCCTGGTTTGGATACAATCAAAACCTCTGGCTGTAGGTTCCTGTCCATTTTGATTTATTTCAAGTCCTGTAAGTAAGAAGGAAAAAACAGGTTGTTCATCCTTAACCTTTGCTGGGCAAGAGGTTTCCAGTACGGGGATGAGATAATGGGCACCTGCTGGGGCTCCAGCCTCCTCCCAGCTGAAACACCAAACACAGCATAGCGGAATATATGGGCACAGACAAGGTCAGAATTACTTTCCTTCCACACATATGTGTTATTTCAGATTGCTAAAGCTTAGCCAAAGCTACAGAGCACCTTGAACATTTATGGCAAAGAGTGGCTAAAGTACCTTTAACTTCTACCTTTAACTTCCTACCTAGAAGCAAAGAAATGCTTGTGGTGACCCCCACACGATGGGGTGGCAAGGCCAGTGAGAGGCTGGGGTGGGACAGGATGCAGGCCCCCATGGGCGCTGCCAGCAAGCAAAAAACATCCCTGAGCATAGCTATTAAAACAAAAGGGACCTGCGAGATGCGTTTCTATCCAGCCTGGGACCAAGAGCCTGCATGTATTCCTGCTCCCAGCACCAGGGCCAAAGCGGGAGAAGGTCCCTGCAGCAAATCCCCGTGGTGTGGGAGTGCTCACAGGGTGGCATTGCACAGCGCCGCCATACGCTGGTGTAGGAGCTGTGCTTCAGCATTCCTGCGGAGTGCTCAGGATTCACAGACTGCAGCTTAGATACAGCTTCAATCACTGTCAGTGTCTGTGGCCTGTTCCAAAGTGTTGAAAAAAAAATGTTTTTTTTCTCGTTTTTAGAGAAATCTATATTTTGTAGCAGCTTTTGCATGATACTGTGATACTGAGTAAACTGAGCATCTTGTTAGAATAGCTCATGCCACACTAATACTGTTGAAATGCGTTACTAGATTTTAAGTGTGTCCAGCAAGTACAACCTGAACGTAAGATAGATACCTAGCACACACATGCACATAAAGCCCCTTCTTGCCAAGTACAATTTTAATCACTTTTATACCTGCTAAATGCACAGATATCTGCAATACTGCATTGCTATGTTTCATCCTGCCAATACAATTCTGATACAATGAGATCATAAGATCATAGAATGATGTGGGTTAGGAGGGACATTAAAGCTCATCCAGTTCCAACCCCCTTCCACAGGCAGGGACATCTTCCACTAGACCAGGCTGCACAAAGCCCCGTCCAGCCTGGACTTTAACACTGCCAGGGATGGGTCAGCCACAGCTTCTCTGGACAACCTGTGCCAGCGCCTCACCACCCCCACAGGGAAGAATTTGTTCCTAATGTCTAATCTACATCTACACTCTTTAAATTTAAAACCACCGCACCTTGTCCTGTCACTACAGGCACTGGTAAAATCTCTTTCAATCTTTCTTTTAATTCCCCTTTAAGTACTGAAAGGCCACAATAAGGTCTCCCTGGAGTCCTCTCCAGGCTGAACAACCCAAACACTCTCAGCCTTTCTTCATGCAAAAGATTTTCCAGCCCTTTGACCACTTTTGTGGCCCTCCTCTGGACCCTCTCCAACAGGTCCGTATCTTTCCTGGGCTGAGGACTCCAGCACTCCAAGTGGAATAAAGTGGAGTAGAGAGGTAGAATCACCTCCCCCAACCTGATGGCCACACTGCTTTCGATGCAGCCCAGGATGCAGTTGGGTGAGCTGATACAACCAGAACTGTTACCATGATGCTACTCTAAACTTTCCCATGCTAAACACACTAGAACATACTATTGGCCAATTCATTCTTTCCCTCTATTTCTGGTGCTTTATCGGTTTAAATTCATATGCAAGAGATGCTTCCAGCAGTGAATTGGGAGTGGGGCCTTTACGTTGGGAAAACTGGGACCAATCCCAGCTCCACCTTCATTTGGTATAATTACCAATCATTTTCCCATCTACCTTTTGCCTCCCAATCCTGCCTCTCCCTAGATTCTTCCTTGGCACAGCCTCAAGGGCCTGCCCAAACACTGGTAAAGCTGCAGGAAGTTTTGCTTGACCAGAAGGGAGGCAGCCACCCATCCCTGCAGGGATGTGAAGGGTGGTTCCTTCTCGTACAAGCCCAGAAACATGGACTTTTTTCCCCCCCAAAAGTTATTCCTTTTTCCTGCTCTCCCTCTGCCATGTCCCCCATTGCCTCTGTGTGCCAGAGTAGCTGTGGAGTGGGGCAGCCACTCCCAGGGGAGCACTCCCCAGAGTGCATGGCCAAGCTGGGAACTCCTGCTCTTGCCGGGGAGCTGTGACCATGCAAAGTGACCACGCCATTCCCAGCAGTGTGAGGGCCAGATCTCTATCCTTGCTTCCTGGCCATCCCTGCTCAAAGGCAAGCAAGGAGAAGCTTTTGGTTTTGGAGGGCTGGAGACTTCCCGAATGCCTTAGCCACAGTGGGAGCTTTCCCGTTTGGCAGAGTAGCGTGGCCTTTGGCAGGAGAGTGCAGCCAGCACTAAGCAGAAAAGGATTTTATTGCCCCTATGTCTTTAGAAGATGCTGTTTGAGTTGGTTAATCTTTATTTGATGCAGAAGGCTGCAATAAAACAGCCTGCTGCTGCTCTGGAGCAGCTCCAGAGAGTGGCACCAGGAGCGGGTAACAGCCGTGCGATAGCAGGAGAGCTGGCATGAGCTGGGGGCATGGAGAGCTTTGGGATAGCTCTGTTCTCCTGTGGGAATGTGCCATTTGGTCCCATTCAAATGGCACCTCAAATAGCTGAGGGCATGGACAGGACTAAGTGATGCCCAGCGGCAAAGGCTTGTGGTGGTGATAGGCAGGGGGAGGAAAACTATCAAGTGCAAAATCAGGTATTTTATGTCTCTGCACTGATGGTGGTTGTGTCCCATGGACACGCTGAGGAGCCTCTGTACAGTTTCCCATGCAGCAAGAGTTTTGTGGTCCCATTTACTATGTGGCTAATGATGACAGGAAGAGTTTGTATAATTTCAGTTATGATGTACAGATAAGTGTAATATATTCCTGATAATAAATACATGCGCCAGCACACATATGGGCTGACGCATATGAACCAGCATGTCCTGTAGCATTTCCTGTATGTCTGTGCACACAGAAACTGGATTAGAAGTGAAACCCCATCGAAGGTTACCCCAGTACAGTAAAGATTGAAGCTAGAAAACCACATAAGCCTCCTGACAGCAGGGGGGCTTGGTTGAGTTACCCAACTATGGATAACAGGCTATAAATTAGATCAAAAATCCCATTAATTCCTTTTCTAAGGGTGCTTCCTGTGCAGCTGGGGCTCCTGGGTGACCAGGGGTTGTTCCCTGCAGTGTTTTTATTAAGGTGTCATGCTTCAGCATGTGGTAAGGAGAACATTTCCGCCCATGGCTCAGACACGGCAGCAAACACGTACTCTCATAATGTGCCAGTCTGCTGCTGTTGCAACACACCCTCCCCTTGCCCTGCCCTTCCACTGAGAGCACAGAGTTCCTCAGGCTTTGCCACAAGGATTAAAGAGTCAGGGCACACCCCACCTCGGGAATGTGCCTGGTAACATCCTCCTGGAAAGTCTTTCACCAGGCCCCTGGCTCAATTGGCACAGAGGAAGCTATAGGAAGGACAAAGACTGAGGGCAGAAGGAAAGCAGGGCTCCTGGAGCCACCAACTCATTTACAGCAGGGCACACAAGCAGGATGCAAACGAAGGATGAGGTGATGGCAGGGAGCAGACAAGACTTCTTCCTGGTTGTCAGTGTTGTCCTGCAGATCCTATCCTGGAAAACCCCATAGAAAAGAGCAGAACTCTTCATTCATTACACAGCCCCAAGTTCCCGAGACAACTGACCTTTGCAATGCCAACGAAGTTCACACCACCTGGGTAAATTTTAGGCTAACTCTGCAGGTTTGGGAAGTCCCACCTAATACCTGAATTGGTACCAGAAGACAGAAGAGACTCGCCTCAGTGTCAGCAGCAACAAGCTGCTCAGCTCTGAGCATCCACCCCAGCCTGCAGCAAGTCCCCCACACCACGTATTGTCCCACCTGCCTCAGCAAATCTGAGTCAGGGCAGAGTTAACACGAGCAGCTTCCAGAGCAAGTGCCCTCCTGCAGAGACTGGGTCAGCCAGCAAGAAGTTGGAACTAGCTGCAAAACAGGCAGGCTTACAAAGGAGGGCAAACAATAGACATCACTTATCTGGATACTGAGAAATATGTTTTAATGCTGTACCACAGAATTACAAGTGAACTTCCGAATTCCAAAAGCATCATTCAGGGGAGAAGTTATTTACAGTGTTGCCAGGATAAAAAGTAGCCGCACACCCGCGCTGTGCTCTGGGGCAAGGTTCACATTGTAAAACTTAAGGCCTTAATCGCTACATGAACGTGGTAAAAACCAAAACAAACCCAAAACCTCCAACCCAAACAAAGATTAAAAAAAATAAAAAACAGACCTGTTTGCAGAACAAGCATTAAAACTATTTATTATGCCCATAAGAAATTCTGAGAAATCATTAGGAAAATAGACCATCAGACAACAGAAAGGTATTTACATTTTGCTTAATAATTAAAAAATAAATATATACAGACTCTTCCATGGCTTCAGTCAGTAACAACCCCTTTGCTGACATATGTGCCC